TATATACAACTACAGAGGGCATTTACATATTTTTAGAACTATTTCAATAAAGAATTAAGCAAAGCAAATGTTTTGAAATAAAAATTTCTGGCAACAGATTATTTGAAAGGAGAAATATTCGCTTGCTATAAAATTTATTCTTCTTTCAAAATTTCGAATGTAAACAAGCTGTGGATTGAAGGATATGATTTTGCGCTTTCCGAAGAGACATATTATTATTATTTAATTTTAAAATGTTGTGAAATGCATGGTATATTAAAATTTCTAAGTGAAGAATAAGTGACGCTATTAATCAGAAAAGAAAAACCGTTAATCATTTCTTCTACATGGAAAGAAGTCTCCAAACGAATACTTTGAAAAGGTATAAAATGTTCCTAATGCTTTTAAAGTTAAATTATTGGTAACAAGAGAGATTCCGCCGATGCAGAAATCAATCGCAAACTCTTTAGATACATTGTAACAATAATAAATTAAATAATAAACCGAGATTAATCTCGGTTTATTATTTAACAGCTTAAAAATCTAAAAAACATTATGTTTACCAGACAAGACATGTGGCTCAAGGCAGAACTATTTGTAGAACTTTGTATAAGAACTAGCGGGAGATAAATGACCCTTTATGAAGTATTGTGACACTTTATGAAGCATAAGTTTACCTAAATGTCTACAACAACAACAACAACAACAACAACAACAACAAAACAAAAAAAAAAAAAAAAAAAAAAAAAAAAAAAAAAAAAAAAAAAGGTGTCTTTATTAAATAGAATGAAAGACTCTTTCCCCACCCCCAAAAAAAATTATAAAACTGCTTTAAAATGAATTCTGAAGAGAATTTTGCGTGGCGTCTGTACGTACGTACATATCTCGCATAACTCAAAAACGAGTAGCCTCAGAACATTGAAATTTTGTATGTAGGATTGTTATAATATGTAGATATGCATCTCGTATTTTGGTAGCAATCGGCCGCACCAAACGTATATAAATATATTTATTTAATTAAAATGCTAGGTAGTAAGTACTATATAAAAAGACCAATTTGGTCTAAAAAATTTTTGCGCAATATGCTGCAAAATTAAGGAAATGAGAAGATAAATTGTAGTTAGCTCGCCAAAAAGTTACCAGGAACTGTGGCTCCAAGAAAAAGTTCAACACAGTTTAAAAAAAAAAAACAAAACAAAGAACAATGACATTGAAGGGTGAAAAATTAGGCTACACGCGAAATAAAATGTATAATATAAAACACAGTAAAATACTAATCGTTGGGTGCTTTTTTTTGCTTTAAAAATGATTGAATTATGTTGTTCTTATCTTCCGGTTAAGGTTTTTATGCCTTTAGTAAATATGCAAGCAATATTTGTACAATTAATCAACAATTTAAAATCTGTTTGGGTGCGGTTAAGCCTAATTTTTAAATAACATGGCGGACATATTTGTTTACATTTGAAACAGCAGAATAGTAGATTTGTTGCCAATCTAGAGAGACTAAGCTTCGCAAGAACAAAGATAACACCTTCATTTATTATTGCGAATTAAATCATGCTAATCCTTTCTGGAATTTATTCGAGGAAATAAGTGTTTAAGATTTGCTTCGTAATTTCTGATATAGATATTTTGAATTTTTATATATTTTTGCCTTGTCGCAAAGTGAGAACTGAATTAACTGAATGAGAAATACTGAATCGTCTGTGAAAATCCTTTTCTTTTTTGTTTTGTTTGCGTAATTTCTTTTATACATCGTTCTAGATTTATTATGGTATTTGAATAGGACATGTGGCAACGATTAGATAATTCTTCAAATGATATAAATTTTATGCATTCTGAGGTATAATATGAACCTGAGAAAAATGGATCTTCAACTTCAGATTGCAGACCTATCAGTTTACTTTCAGCTGTTTGAAATATTAGTCATCAATAGGCTCACTAAATTCGCTGAAGACAATAATATTATTAGGAACATCAATTTGGATTTAGCACCACCCAACAAGTTACAAGAATTACTGAAATCATCGGTGAAGCCTTTAATAAAAAAGAAACAGTTGCTGGGATCTTCATTGATATTGAAAAAGCGTTTTGATAAGGTTTGGCACCCAGGCCTCCTTATCAAACTTATCGGAAACAAATTTCCACCTGGATTAATCCTCCTAATTTCAAGTTTTTTGGAAAAAAGAACTTTTCAAGTTCATATTAAGAACGAGCTATCTACGAATATCTACGTAATATCATTGTAATGAAAGCAGGTGTTCCTCGGGGCTCGAATTTTTCGCCTTTTTTTTTTTTAACATCTACATAAATGACCTTTCCAGCCACAAAGATGCCATTATCGTCTGTTATGCAAACGATACTGCAATTCTCAGAAAATCCATCAATCCGCAAGGAGTCATCCGAAACCTCCAAAATGCAATAGACTATATCTTCCCATGGTTTAACGTTTGGAAAATTAAAATCAGTGAAAGCAAATCCACTACAATATATTTCCAAAACCCTCCAGAAGACATTTCAACAATATCACAATTAATAATATCTCCATCCCAAATGAAAAATGTGTTAAATATTTAGGTGTTTACCTCGGTCAAAAACTAACCTTCAAAAGCCATACCGAAAATATCTGTAAAAAAGCCAACTAAGCAATAGGCAGTATCTATGCACTCACAGGGAGAAATTCTAAACTTAGTTTCGCTACAAAAAGAGTTATTTATCTAGAAGCTGATCCGCCCGATTTTACTGTATGCTTTCCCAGCGTGGGCTGCAACTGCAAGAACTCACCCCGAAAAAATACAAAGAATTCAAAACAAGGCCAGCCGAATATTACAAATGCGCCTTGGTTCGTACGAAACAGCACTCTTCACAATAACTCAAAAATTAAACCCACGGATTCTGAAATTCTAAAAGCTTCTCATAACTTTTTTACGAAATGTGACAGTCACCCTAAGAATATCATCAAAAAACTAGGAAATTATGATTTCATACTTGAACAACGTCACAAAATGCCCCGCACTATTTACCATAATAGTCGGTGGTAATTTATATATTTTCGTTTTCTTCTTATTTAGCCAAGATTTTTTTTTTTCATTTTCTTTAGTTATAGTTTTGCATATCAAATTACAAAGCGCTATGGACTTTGTTCCTGCCAAAACAGGCAGACTTTGTGTGTAAATGGTTGTTACTCTTGTGAAACGTGTTTCAATGTACTGCAAATTGTGTTTTTCATCATTTTACTTCATGCCAATTATTGCTTATCAGAACAATAATTTTTATGAAATTTTAAAAATGCCTTACAATACATCCTGCAAGAGATAGCGCCACCAGAGCTCCAGTCAACTAAAATCCTTTTCATCCCTACTAATAGATGGCACCACACGAGTGCTTCATTTGTTCAAAGTTTACTTATTCTACGGACGGAGACACAGGAGCCTCGGTCGCTGGTAATCTCTGAGTTCTAGCACAACATGTGCACAAGTACTTCCATATTATTGGATACAACTTATTCGATTCTTCACGCATTTAAAAGTCAAGTATAATATATTGGTAAAGGCCGTTAATGGCTGATTGCCTTTTACTAAGGATAAGACATAAACATAGACATAGTTATGTATATGAACGAAATATAACGCTGTTAAGTGAACCTAGAGTGTCGCTATGGTAAACAAATGTAGTGAATTTTAAAGAGTGCATTTATTCTATTGTGGTTTATGCGCTATCGACGAAGTAGATTTAATTCAATCCAATAAGTTTAAATGAAATGCAAGAAAAAATGAGTATAATTTAATATTCCGTACAAGGAAGTCATATGGTGTATGCATCAGATATATATATATATTTTTTTTTCTGTTTAACCATTGGTGGGCATAATTTGGAGTAGGTATGATTTTTTTTATGGGTGGGGGATTGTTATGACATTTTTTTCAAGGGATATTTACTTTAAAAAATAATCTGATTGTTTTTGTACACCTTCTTAACTGTTCAAAATTAATGTAAAAATTTTTATTCCTAAAAAGTGTTTGAAATTATTTTATCATTTCATACTATTTTTTGTTTTGTTTTAGTAACTTAAATATGAAACAGAATTATATTATATTTTTCTGAAGCAAAGTTCAAATTAATTTTAATTAAAATTTTATTTTTAAAATCCTACGTATTTAACTGCATTACATTGGCTTTTTGCTATTTTAAAATTATAGAAATATCTTCATTTGCAGAAAACATGATTAGTATTTTAAGTAAACTTATAAGTTATATCTAAAAAATTGAGTTGTATAGCCTTTTCTGCTCTTTTTATGTAAGAAATTTATCTATTTCAATTTTAATTAATAGTATAAATTGTTCAAAACTAAGTATAGTTATTAATATATAAGCTTAGTGGCCATGACATTAAGATTTAGTAGACTTTCTCATTAATGCCCACTCACCGGACTAAGACATTTATCCATTATTAGGAAATACCCACTAAATGAAACAACACTGGTCTCTCGAGGGCATAGAGATTTAGGAATTGTCTGCTAATAAGGAATGTCCATTAAAGTGGATGCTTATTAATGGAAGTACGATAATTAATGTATCTGAGTTAACAGTAAAATAAAAGCATTCCCTAATAGTCAAATTTGCTAAAAACTAACATGAATAATACTTGTACAGAAAAATTTCATCTTTTAAGAGTAATTTTATAGAAGGAATTAGGCATATAGTTTAAATTTATTTTCTGTGTCATAACAATATTAATTTAATTAATATAGGCATTAAAATGCGTAGCTTTTAGTAATTAAATTATGAAAAAGTTTGCAGCACAATTCTTGAATTAAATTAATCTGGGGTCACGTGTCAACATTTTGCAATAAAAGAATTCTAAGGTACATTTTTCTGCTGTGTAATTTCATAAGAAAGTTACTCATAGGAACGTGGCAAATGTGATTCTACAAATGAATAGTCTTATGTGCAGAAAAGCAATTATACATCAATATGAAGCCAAAACAACATAAATAAATATTTAAAAATAAACAATGACATTCTATTTAAAAATTATTTATACATCTTCATTTACTTACAATTGCGCACAGAAATTTGAGTTACACTAAAAATTATTCTGAAGGTCGCTGAAAAATCAGTTATACATGTTTGTTTTTCTTTCCGTGTGAAAACTGAATTCAAATTATTAGCTGAACTTTATCCAAATTGTTAGCAGTTTTGAAATGTTTTTCAGTAGAACTATTGTAGTGTCTAAAATACTGGATGGTTCAGCTTCCAGATATCATTATAATTGCCAGATTGTTTTTTATTGATGTTCTTCTGTCTTGCCACCAAAAACTTCATTAGCTTTCATTACCTATAAATCTATTTTTAAAGTGTTTTCATCAAACTTAGATGATTGATTAAATCAAAACACTGTTAAATACTCCAATTCATCTGAAATATCACAGCCTTGCTCTTGGAAAGGAACATCACCTTTTTCTTTTGAAGAAATGATGGATGAAAATTGGAGCTGAAGCCCATAATCATTCAGTGCTCATCATATTATTAATTTTAAGTAAGTTCCAGTGTCCAGATTCCAGGATTGTTTTAAAAAACACTTTTTGTCACTATATTGGTTCTTCCCCTCAGTGCTTATGATCGGTGAGCAAAGGTGTCAGGTGGAAGTATGCTGTTATTCAAAAAAGAATCTAAATATGGAAGCTCTTTTTAACAAGGTGGTTTGGGCTCATTAACTGAAATTATATAAATGATACTGACATTTCAGATCTGACACTGTTTGCAGTAAATATAAACACTGAAGTGACATATATTTGAATGAGACTTTAAAAATGTGCCATTATAAACAGAATAAACTTATAATGAGATTTGATCAAAGCTGTAAATAATAATTTAGAATGCTTATTAGAATGCAGTATTATATTTTAATATTATCAGAGGAAGTTTTCTTGGCATCTATTGAAAATTCACTTGTAATATTTAGAAATAAGTTACTAAATAGATGGAGATTTAATTGGTAGTAGCATGTTTTATTTTAGTTCTCTGTTACGATACCGTATTTGTGTTAAAGCAATAGTTTTTGCTTAGCAAATCTTTGAATTCTTTATCAAAGTTATATGAAACGAAAGTGTCAGTAAAGTTAAAAATTAACCTTTTTATTGCTAAAGTCTAATGTGATGTAAAAAGCCAAAAAGATAGTCAAGAAGGGAGAGTTTTTATGTGTTTGTCAAAATAATTTATGATGAGTTTCTTTCCGTGTTTTATGATTGTCTATATGCAAAAACAGAACTGCATAAAGTATTTAAAATCCAACTCTAATCACTTTGTGAAACCATCAGATTATGTTGAATATGAAATCAAGTTATATCGCTAGGTAAAAGTTTCTGAATACTAGATATTATTCAAATTTAAATATTATTGTTATTTTTTTTCATAAAAGTGTTGGTGTAATTCTTTTCAATGCAAAGTGAGAATTTGTTATTAATAATGCTGGGTAGTAGTTTCCTTATGCTGAAAGCTAATTTTGAAGAATAGCTGATTAAAAGTTTTAATGTACTGTAAATTTCTCCTGGCAGTCAACTTCTTAAGGTAAAAGTTACCAATTTCTGAAAACGGAATTAAGTAATAGTATTGAACATCATTAACATCGCTTTAAGATGACCACCACCACAGAGAAAACAATTGTCTGGAATTATAAATGTTTTTTTAATTTTATTTATTTTTTTAAGGCGGGTCCTTAGTATTTGTTTGACATTAAAATCAAACTTGGCTTCTGAACAATTTTTGTATATTGCATATAATTGTGAGAACATAATTTTTGATTCTGTAAAGTAATCCAAAATATAAATTCTTTTTAGAGAATCATCATACATGTTTTATTTAATAATTAGAATATGTATTTCTTGCTGACACTAATCATATTATTCACATTTTCTAAAAACTGGTTTGGTGTCAGAATTTTTATTTAGATGACTAAGGTTTATTTACAGATGATATGATAAATAAAAATATGAATTCATTTGCAGACTTTGAATTGCAAAAATCTAGTTGCATAGTCTTTTTTTGCAGATTATGATACATATAAATATAAATGGACATCAGCAGAATAAAAAAAGTGTCTATGCACAAACTGAAAATTCGATTTACCACTCATAAATTTCTTTGAGTTTCATTTTTTTTTTTTTTTTTTTTTTTTTTTTAAATTTTCAGTTAGCAAGTGTTTTTTTTTTTATTTTGAAATTCACTTTTTTGCTATAGATTTAATTAGTCATTGAAATCTCGTTTTCAGAATTCCTGTTAGGTGATCTGAGATGTGCTATATTTGAAGATTGTTAACACATTGACACACCTCTTAACACAACAGTCAAAAATAAGTTAACAATATGAAAATCAGCAATAAAAAAATAGTTCTTGAGGTCCCAAAACAGTGAACCTTAAGTATTCATAGCTCTCACGTGATTATGTCAGTTTGATGATGATGATGACAATGGTGATGACCTGTAACACTTTTCACATTCTGTTGAATTCATAATGTGATTTGCTTCAGTTATTACAGGGTATGATGAATAAAATATGTAATTATATACATGTGATTATGTTGCTGTGAGGCCTGCTCACATTTTCTGACCAGCAGAATTGGTTTATTTTCTTTGTAGGTCAACTGAAAATATAAAACAAGATTATAAATATGCATGTAATAAAATTATAAATCATAAAATTTCAGGCATACACACACATATAAAATTAGGAACTAATAAATTGTAAAAGAGAGAAATGGTACATGAATGTATCAGTATGTTTATTAAAATGTATATAATTAATTCTTATGCATAATTAAATAAATAAGTTTTGTATATATATTTCAGAAGGGGAAATCTGAATTTTCAGGTTTGTAAAATGTTAAAAACTGCTATTTTGACATTCCAGAACCTAGTTTGGTGGCAGTATAGCGCGTTTTATATTCGATGCTGATACATATAGATGTATCTTCTAGTTACCGCTTAGTGGACAAACACGGAATAGGTGTAGTATGTTGATGAAGCACGGTATAATACATTTAAAATAAATGTTTGAAAAATTCAGCATAGATAATTTCTCACGTTAAAAATTACTGTATGAAATTAATTGTAATTCTTATGTAAGGTACACAAAAGAATGAAACCGTTATGAGTACCCATAATACAAACTGAAAACAGGTGTTAACCATCAACAGCGTGTATCTGATTTCTGGAACAAAATGAATGAAACCTGCCATTGAGCTCCTTCAGTCTATTTTGCTGTTATTCTTAAGATGGGAAGGTAGTGGACATCAAGGAATGGATTAACATATAATAGATTGGGTTTCTTCATTTAGGAAGTGATACACGTTTCGGGATAAACACTGTTATCCAAAATTATCATCCATAAAAAATGATCTGATGATAGAATGTGCATCGTCGACAAAGTTGGTAATGTCGATGTTTCATGAATATTAAAGGGTGGTGCATTTAATTATGGCAAAGCACACTGGGGCTATCTGCCTGGGGGGAGGGATGCCTTCGTGGAGGGCTTTCTAGGGGAAACTGGCTCGTATACACGTTACGCATGGGGAAAACCACGAAAACACGCATGCAGCCAGCCCGTTCGCGGGATTCGAGCCTCGGACCGAACTCCCAGTGTTCAGCGACTTTACCGCTCGGCCGCTGGTGGGCCCGAATATTTAAAGGGAAAAATAGGTGTCCTACAAATGGTATTTAATGGCGTAACTCGACAGTTTTTTTTTTTTTTTTTTCTTTTTTGGCCATTGCTTGTTATAAATACAAAATATCAAATACTGCCGGAAATGATGATGCGATGCGTAAATTACTTCGTGTATCTACGTAAAGCCTCGCACTGCACCTATAGCCCACCAGCGGCCGAGCGATAAAGTCGCTGAACACTGGTAGTTCGGTCCGAGGTTCGAATCCCGCGAAAGGGCTGGCTGCACGGGCATTTTCGTGTTTTTTCCCCATGTGTAACGTGTTTACGAGCCAGTTTCCCTTAGAAAGTCCTCCACGAAGGCATCCCTCCCCTTAGGCAGATAGCCCTCGAGGCTTTGCCATAATCACAAACGCACGGACTGGACCTGCGATCATCAAAACCGGATGATAAAAACTTGAATGATAAGAAATGTTACGTTTCTTCTGATGAATTCATGACGCGAAATGTGCACTTACACCTTTTATATGGTGTCTTAGCACAAAAACGCATCTTACTGAAAAAACAAGTAACAAACACAGGTAAAGAAAATGTAATGCACTCAGGTATAGTCCAACAAAACGTACTCATTTTACTTGACAACCGTGACTGTATAGTTAGGCATGTGCAAAAAACTTCTTTCTGTTTGATGTGCACCATCTTCTAAAATCACCGAAGTGCGTTTTTATGGCACTAGTATTCCCCTATGGAATTCGAGAATATTTTCTGAATAACATTCGAATCAAATATTTGCGAGATATGCTCGAAGAGAAAATTTGATCTGCTGTAGCTAAATCAAATTTACTGAATCAATGTCAATGTGTTTTATAGCATACTTTAACATAAAATATTTTTGTTAAGAAAATATATTAATCTTAGTGACTACTTCCCGAAACTGACTTTAAAACCCTTTTTTTTTATGATAACTTGTACTAAAATCACTATACACTTTATTTATGATAACTTGTACTAAAACAAATTTAAAAATCTGAAACCTTAAAAGTATATTATGTTTTTATGTTCTTAAAAATGTAAGGTACTTTTTATCTCCTTTTAAAGTATCGCAAAAAATGTCGGGTACCATGTTTCAAAGAAAATATCCATTTTGATCACTCTATTTTGACCGCTACATTTAAATTATTTTTATTTGCGTTACATCTGCACGCACGGGCAGACTAAAGGATTGTTTTTCCAAAACGCATTCGGAAGCGATTTTTTTTCGTGACGTCTTTACATACGTATATATGCAACTGAAAACCGAATAGCCGTAGAATCTTAAAATTTTGTGTATGGAACTCCTATAACATATAGTTGTACAGCTCTCCTTTTTGTTGCAATCGGCCTCACCAGATGTGTATATATATGTGTGTGTGTGTGTATTTATATACGTATATACACCCAGTCTCTAACCGGCTTGGTAAGCTGTGTATTTTTATTCTCTCATGTTGGTAAATTGTGCATTTTTGCTTTAAAAGTGAGTGAGTTATGTTCTTCAGTTCCGATTAAGATTTTTATGCCTTAAGTTAATCTGCACGCAATAGTTGTAGAATTATCAACAGTTAAAGTGGCTCTAGGCCTAACGAAGCCGCCATTTGTTTACATTTGAAACTCATAGTAGAACAGTGATTAGTCAGTTGGTGCAGCAACTTATGTGTCTTTATACACAGTGGGGCCGAAAGTTTACTTTCAATTTTGTGCACCGAAAATTGTGTCTTCCTGTTTGTTGGCCGAATTTCTAGTTTTTGCGTGCAAACTCTAATTTTAATTTTAAAAAATTAAATTGTTTTTAACTGTATTTGGTGGGTTTTTTTTCTGCATTTTTTAATGAAGGTGTTTTGAATTTTTATGTACTTTTTTCTTGCTGCGAACTTAGAACTGAATTGATTGAATGATAAATATATCTCGAATCTATATTGCCTTTACGAAATTTGAAGAAATACGTTTAAATGAAGTGCAGCAAAAAATATTGTTACGAAATGTACAGGCACGGTGAGATAGCTTACCCGCAAAGAAGGTTAAGGGTTGCTATAAAATGGCAAGGGAAGGCAGAGTTACCACATTTGGCGAGAAATCGCCCATTTGGCGACAAAATTGGCGATATGCCATAGACGGATGGAGAACCTTCTGAAACGAATTCTTACCTGTTTAGGCCAGAATGTTCTCGAACACAAGCCGAAAGCTATATAAACCCTGCTGGTCCGCAGTCAGTTAGTGTGTGTGCCTCGTCTAGCGAGCTGATAGTCAGTCATTGAGCGAGTGTCTCGAAGTCTAGCGCCGAGTTGGTCGTCGAGTGCATCGAGGGAGTCGTTTAGTTTATTGCGAGTTAGTGCATCGTCAAATTTTGTCTTAGACTGTGCTGAGTCGAGAGCTATACTCTTGTGTATCATCGAGCGCATCGCGAGTTGTAGCGTGGAGAGTCTCGAGAGTACGTGGAGTTCTGTGAACGACCAGGGGCGTAGCTAAAGGGGGGCAAGGGGGCATCTGTCCCCGGGCGCAGAATCCAAGGGGCGCTAAACTGATGTTACGACATTTTAGAATTAAATGTTTTCCATCCTTGGCAAGGGTACAGTAGGGGGCGCGAAATTTTCAGTTGTCCCTGGGCGCTGAAAACCCTAGCTACGACTCTGTGAATGACCAAGAAGAGTCGGGAGCTGTACTCTGGTGCTTTGCAGCGAAGCTATCTTGACCGTTATTGCCTGATAGCGTGAAGGCTGTGTCGCTGATTGTGTCAGCGTGTTTATAGTAGTTCTTCTACGATTGTAAAACGTGATTTTGGAGCTGTCCTGATTAATATTGGCTAAATAAAGAGTGTTTCGATACTTCATCAAGTGTCGTCGTTATTCACTCCAAATCCATACGAACCTCGTACGAACTGGTATCAGAAAATAACGTAACAATATGTGTAACTTAATAGACCGTACAAAGAAGCCGTATGGTGGCGACCTCAGATATTTTATTATATTTTATTATTGTTATTTAATTCATTTTTAATCTAGCGAAATAAAACAGAAATATGATTGTTTTTGTTAAATGCACTGTTAACAGCGGAAATACCGTTCCTTGAATAAATGTTTGAACAGATAAGAAACTTGCTAAGATTTTAATTTCGAAGGTTTATGTTAATGCAGGCACCAGATAACTTGAATTGATCTAATAAGTCATATGACTAATCGGGACTAAATTTCGGCTATACGGTGTTACAGTGAGTTCTTTCTCGAATTATATTCCAAGGAATTGTCGTTTATGTAATACTCACCAGGCTTTACAAATTATTTCCACTTTTAAAGATCTGATAGAGACATTTACTCGTACAGTCAATAATATCCTTCTAGCTGTGATTGGGATTACAGCTTTGAGAATTATATTGACAAAATAAGCACCTATTTGTTTCGCAAGGACTGCTTGTTTGCTGATATTAGCTGATTATTATTATTTTTAATAATGCCATTTAATGCATTTAAATTATACAATGACAAGACGATCATAGCGCTTTTCATCGGCATACCAGCTTGTAGCCATTAAAAGGCAATATAGATTTGTAAGCTGCTGGCACCTCAAACTATGATTTGTATGATTCGGACGAGAAGTAGCAGAATGTTTTTCGTAGTCACTTTTGTCCATATTTTTAATCAACGAAGGTTAGGACTCAGATGAAAGCGAGATTCATTGCTGAATATGATTCTGTCTCATTCAAGCTACAGCCATTGTGCGACATCGCATACAGTATTTCAAACCTATGACATAATAGACTTCGCAAAGGACAGTGGACTGCAAACCTGTGCATAATAGTTTGACAATAGTATATACCAATCGTTAGCGAATAGACATCATTGGCAAGTTACTGTTACATGATGTCGACTGCGGCATTCAGAGTGCTCTGACGGCCTTATATCTGCAGTGCGTTTGTCATGATTTACATTTCCTTCTTTTAATCAAAGTTCTCAG